ACAATGTGACCTTCTCATGTCATCAGTCTTGAGTCTCCTGAAAATTCCATGAATTTTTATTACAAGTTTTTTTTTTTTTTTTAAACCATGCCGAGGCTCCGACAAATGACTTGGCACCGATGAGATGAAGTTGTTGAAGAAGTGTTAGTAAGTTTTACAGCCAGAGAGCTCTGCTCAAGAGTAGGAAGCCAGGTCCTGGAATGTCATACACCAGTAACCGCTGAGCTCACTATTGGATAAATACATCATTTTATGGAACATTGATTGTTCTATAAACCCAATGGAGTATTATGCTCTATGATCAAGCCATTTAGATTGTGTGTAGAGCACAGAAAATGCCATATTCAGGATGGTACTAAAAGTGCCATTTGTGTATTTTATGGATGTCATTACAGGGGAAACTTCTCTCTGTGGGCCCTGTTTACTGCAAAATTTTTTAGTCTGTAATGACATTTTTCATTCACAATGTATGCCTTCAAGAGAGGGGGCCCTGTTTTATTTGTTTCATCCGAGTTTACGGCACAAATTCTGTACATTTTAATTAAATGTAAGCTTAACAAAAGCATAAGGTATTTATTCTGTGGAGGGGGGCGGGGAGGGGGATGATGACAGTAACGAAGGCATAACACACAACAAGGACGTTGCCAGGTAGTAAACCTTGCTTGTAGCCTTCCAGAAGCCCCACAGACAGCACATGTCTGCCCCAGAGCCCCTCCATCCTCACCAGCAGAGCTCCTCGGGAGGGTCACTTCAGGACAGACAGATCAGAAGAAACTGTAGCTTCCAAATGACATTCTGGAACAGTGAGCTAATTAGAAATCACTTCCCTGAAAACAAAGCTTCAAGTTCCCCCCGCCCCATCCCCTAAAAGAACACCTCCTTATGCCAACTGAGTTGTAAACTTCGAATGTGCTCAGCAATGAACAGGGAGGTGCCATTCTTTGTACTCATGAAAGCAAATGAGCAGCAGAGAGTTGGGACTGAATAAACAGACACTGGGCTCCGTATTCACTTCCTTTGCCCCTTCTACACAAAGCGCTGCGTGTCCACGGCACCAGAGGCTGACTGAGACTCTGGTCTAACATTACCTCTAAGCAAGGTCAAGTGTAATGCAAATAGATGTGGTCACTAGGGCTCCCGAAGGAGGTGTGTCATCTTAGAGAGGGCAGCCCCCATGGAGTTCGTGATCAAACCTGCCCTCGGGCATCTCCTTTTCCAAATCTCTGGTCCATTTGGCCCTTTGCTTTGGTAAGTGCTACACTTTCCTATTTACTGGCGAGATCTCAAAAATTGAAGTTGATGTGCCCAGTAAATTCTTGGGCATAGTCCAGTTAAAATTGAAAGTTTCAGTAGAGATTCACATTAGTTTAAATGACACTTGAACTTCTACATAGCTCCACATTAATTCATTATGGCTGGAATGGTAGAGTCTTCAGTGGGTGAATCTTTTTCAATCTGATTGAGGCTGTTACATTTTATAGGTGCGATTTTTCAAAGCAGTACTGACAGCATGCGGAGTTATTAAATTGCTGAATCAAAAGCTGGACCTGCAGCCGCATTTATGAACTGTGATGGAAGAGCCTGGGCTGTACTGGGCTGAGGTGAAGATGTTGGCGGTGTTCAGCTTCATCAAGCCCCAGTGACAGCGCTATTTACCCACGTAGTTTACTTTAATGGTCTGGAAGTGGCTTAACCCACCTCTGGATTCAAATAAACTCAGTAAGTAGATCAGGACAGCATAATTACCAGGACTGTGAGGGTCCAGAGGGTCAGTCTGTACCCGGGAGACTCCGTACAATTGCAGAGTACAGAGGAGGCCTGCCCGGGCCCCAGTGTGTAGCGTTTCTTCCGGAGCTGACCTGTGAAGCAGAGGTCGGTTCTTTCTGTACTTTTGTTTATAGTGGGTCCCTTTCTGTAATGGACCGTGGGGAAGTGATGCGGAGGTGACCGTGTATTTTTCCAAAAGCTGGATTAGACTGAAAGTGACCATGAAATCAGAGAGTGGACAACCAATCGCAATCTAGTCCAAACATGATCGAGTCCAGAGTGAATTGGGGGAAGCGGCTCTCGTCTCCTGGGCAGAGAAGGAGGGTGTAGAGCAGATTTGCCAGTGGTACAAGTACAAAGTGGGGCAGGAAGGTCCTGGTGAGTAGCAGCCCCTGCAGGGGAGCCCTGGGAACGAGTCTCCTGTCAGCACTGCCCTCCGGAAGACAGGATCCAGTTAGACAGGAGCCGCCCATGCCCATGGCGCCAACAAGACCTCCTTCTCCCAGGGTGGGAGTCAGGGTGGGGAAAGCTTGTCATGGTCCAGTGGGGGCTGTGATGGGGAAGAAGGACAGAGCCTGCCGCTGTGGATTCTTCTCAGGCAGACCCACTTCTATGCACTGAGTCTGAGGGCCTGCAGCCCAGTCCTGCCCCCTTGGACTGTCTGTTTATAACCTTTACGGTGTCTCCGTGGCCCCCAGCCTGAAGCCTGTAGTGCTGAGGGGACCACTCCCGGGTCTTGCTGCTCTTCCCTTCTCTGCTGGTCGTTGAGGGGACAGTGGCACTGTAGTCAGGTCACCGCAGTAACCGACCATGTGCCAACTCCTAGTGGAAGGCGTGATGCTGTAATTAACCAATTAGAGCAGATGGTTGTTTGTGTTCCGTCCCTGAGAATGAGGCCAGACTGGGCATATCCCAGGATTCAGTGTCTTGGGTGGACAGACGGGGCTCTCGGGTCAGACATTGGCCTGCTTGGCCCCCAGCCTCTTCTTGACCTGAAGGCCTAAGGCCCTACCATCTTTCTATGATCCATGCTGTAGACTTCCCTGAGAAAAACTAAATGTTAATTCATCCTAATCTTTGCTTTTTGAAAAAACGGGGATTATGTACAAATTTTAGACTCACTAGGAATCTGAGCATTTAGAGGCCGAAAGAACATGTTGTTGTTGTTAGGTGCCATCGAGTTGGTACCACCTCATAGCTACGCTATGCACAACAGAACAAAACACTACCCAGTCCCATGCCAACCTCACAATTGTTGCCACACTTGAGCCCATTAGTGCTGCCACCTTGCCAATCCCTCTCACTGGGGCCCTTCCTCTTTTTCTCTGACCCTCCACCCTACCAAACGTGGTATAAAGTATGAGAGACAAAGGCCATCCTGGCTTCCAACCAGCGTTCTGGCTGTACTTCTTCTAACACAGATCTGTTGGTTCTTCTGGCAGTCCGTGGTACTTTTAATATTCTCCTCCAACACCATAACTCAAATGCGTCAATTCTTCTGCGGTCTTCCTTATTCACGTCCAACCAAACCATGTGTTTTTTCAATAACCTCATATGCATGTGAAAGTTGGACAGTGAAAAAGAACATGGTTCACAGAAAACTGGCGTCCCAGTGAGCAGGTGCCCATGGTAGGCTTTTCTTTCCACTGCTGTCTTAGCCCTCCTAGCGTGAGGTGCCACCTCTGTCTTCACAAATTAAGGAGGAGAAGTTGGTATCACTTAGTGTGAATCCTGATTCCTAAGCAAGTAAATGCAGAGAACATAACAATTTACACAAGCTGGCTTCTGGAAGTTCATAGAAAAATTCTGATCTCTTTTAATCTCATTTGTCCACGAACTTCTTGAAACCCCTCGTACGGAATGGGCCCAGAAAATCTCGTGTGATTTGAAACTGGGAACATCGCCTGTTACTCCAGGGTGAGCATGGGCGTGCTTGGTACAGATCTGCCATGCCTCCCACACACCACCCAGAGAGGGTGCCCCCATAGGGGTCCCTGTTGAAGTTGGCTCTTTGAGATGAACTTGGGACATCGTCACAGCTCAAGGAGGGGTCAACAAGAAGAGATTTCTGACCAGTCATGGTCCTGACCAGCAGGTCTGCACTGACAAGGGGGGGACCCCATCCGGGAGGCACGCTCAGTCCCCGGGCAAGCTGATGGGAAAGAGGCACCCTCTCCCTGTGCAAACCAAGACGGCAGTTTCCAGTTCCACTTTGTCCTGTCACGTGATTAAAAACAAGCCAACCTCCAGGGCACAGAGTCCCCCAGGCCCCTCCTCATTATTCTGCCTCAGGTCCCCACTCTGCTCAGCCAGACTGGTCTCAGCGTCTCTTTACTGGCCTGAGTTTTGCAGTGCGCACACCCCAGGGGTTTGGTGTGGTGCTTTCTCCAACACGGACACAGAGCTCACATTCTAAGTGATGAAATCGCACACCCTCTGCTACTGGCCTAAAGAGGCATGTCCATCTCGTGCCCCTGCTTAAACACACTTTACCACGTGGTCCAGACAGGCTGCTCCATGCCCACAGCCAGGGCTCCAGCCCTCCGCCCAGCAGGCCTAGCCTGTGCATGGGCCGGTGGTCTCGTTCTCCAGTGAGCCATCTCCAGTGAGCGGTGGCATAATCCCAACGCTCAAGATAGGGTCAGCAATTGGTTGTTTTCTAGATCCTTCCCAGCATCTCCTTACCTGTGGCCACCTGAATGAGTGTCCATGTCTGTGACCCTTGTTAGAGTTAAGACATTCGACAGACGTCCTCACTGGGGGTCTGGCTGCACAGCAGAACACGACAGAGCCCTGTCTCAGAGACACACTTGTTGCTGCACTCCCTCCCAGGCCTTGGCATAGAAGGACCACGTGCATGCACCTGTCCGCAGGTACCACACCTGCATGCCTGCTGCCCGGAGCCTGTGGTGTCTGAATCTAGTGTGGCAGGCTTTACTGCTGAATAAACAGACGTCTCAGATACAATCTTGGAGTGTTCCAATACATTTTCTCTGGCTCAGAGGTACTGATGCTGAGAGCTTCTCTTGCTACCGGTTAGAAGTGGCAGCCCTAAGGGAGGTCAGCAGGCATTTCCCAGGAGCTGAGTGGGGCTGTGGGTGGATAGTAGGGCAGCAGCCCCGCCCCCTGTGAACACGACACCCTGGGGCTGAGTGAGTCGGGTCCCACAGGAAGACTGTCTGTTAAACCTGGAGTCGTGTTGCTGGACGCTAACTGGTCACTGTCTCTCGTAGGCATCGTCTCCAAGTCCTATGAGTGCCGGCTGAAGGGGCAGGGTGCTGCCTTCGTGGAGACGGACAGCCCATTCACCGCGGCCGCCCTGGCCGACGAGGCCGCCATCAAGGACAAGCCCCTGCGGAGCGGCAGGCGGCCGCTGCCTCCCGCCGAGCAGGTTCAGCAGGTCATCATCATCCAAGGGTACGATGGCGAATTCTCGCTGGATGCCTCGGTGGAGGAGACTGCCGCCGCCACTCTGCAGACCCTGGCCATGGCCGGCCAGGTGGCAAGGGTGTTGCACATCGGTGAGGACGGTCAGGTCATCGCCACCAGCCAGGGTGGGACGCACGTGGGCAGTGTGCTGCCAGGTCAGCTCCTCCCAGAGCAGGTGGTGGTGGTCGGGGGCCCAATGGAGAGCAGCGACGTGGACGAGCCCCTTGGTGCCGGTGGGGCCATCCTGCAGCAGGTGGCCAAGCAGGAGATGGTCACCTTGACCGAGGCGGGCATCGCACCTCCAGACTCCTCTGCCCTGGATGCCTTGCTCTGTGCCGTCTCAGAACTGGGAGAAGTAGATGCTCGGCCAGGCCGCGAGGAGAAGAGCAGGTGCCACAGGGACGCGCTGGCCCAGGTGCCTGGCTCCACGGGCCCCGAGCCACCCGAGCTGCCCCTGTGCCCTGCCGAGCTTGGGCCTGTGGAGCTGCTAGGTCAGGTGGTCCGGCCCTCGGGTCTCCTGTCCCCCCAAGAGAGGGCGCCAGTGGCCTTCAAGAAGGTGGTGCAGGGCGTGCTGCAGCTGACCGTGTGCGACCCAGCCACCACCGACCAGCTGGTCCAGGAAGGCGTCACCCAGGTCATTGTCCACGAGGAGGGCGCCCAAGTCATCATGCAGGAGGCGGGGGCTCGTGGCCTGCGGGTGCCGGCCGAGCACATGGACCTGGTCGAGTCGGACGGGGAGATCTCCCAGATCATTGTCACTGAGGAGCTGGTGCGCGCCATGGTCCAGGAGTCGGGGAGCAGCTTCCCCGAGGGGGCTACACACTACATCGTCACTGAACTGCCCCCCGGGCTACAGGACGAGGCGGCCGTGTACTCACACACCATGATCGAGACAGCCGGCTCCCCGGAGATCCTGCAGGCTGGGCCACCTCTGAACGCAGATGCCTCCTCCCCTGAGGGGGCCGGACAGCTGACCAGCATGGTCATCTACACACAGGGCGCCTCCCAGGCTGCCGCCACCGTGATCCAGAGCCAAAGAGAGGGCTCCGAGCTGCAGGAAGCATAGGGCGGCCTTGTGCAGACCTGGCATCCACCGGCCACTCCTACAGACAGGGTGAAGCCCGTGTGGGTGCGCCGAGCACAGGCGTCCGGGGGTCACGGTCTGTCCATTGTGCTTCCTGGGTTTGTTCTGTCTGGTTTGTCCACAAACACATGTTTCCCCGTTTCAGTTCGCCAATGATTGTTCCCGAGAGGTGGACAAGTAAGACAGATCTCTGGAGGCTCGGGACAGGCCTGCTCAGGAGACCTGCAGAATACTGTCATCACGTGTTAGGACTCGTTTGGTTAAAACTCAAGCTGCAATTATTACTGTCTGCAAGCAATTAATTTCCACTCTTTTTGATTGTTTGTTTTGTTTTTGAAACTAATAACCCAGTGTGTCCCAGACCAAAGGCAGTGGCCAGTTCATTTCGTGTGTGTGTCTGCTCCCTCCGACATTGGGGTGTTTGAGGGCCCTGGTTGCATTCTGCATACAAGAGATCGTTTTGAGCCTGTGATTAAGAAAAACATCCTTTATGTTCACTTAAAATACACCTTAGTTAAGACAACGTGCTATACTTCTAATTTTGTCTGTTTCTTGTTCTGGAGTCTGTATATGAAATAATACGTTCTGGAAGGTATTTGGTCATAGCAATATTTTACTTTTTATAACAAATGTTTGTTCACATTGGTATCATTGTTTCTTTTCTACAGGATTTATGTCGATACATAAAGCCCTGACATTAAACATAAACAAACAGAAACACGTTACCCTGTAACCATCGCTTTCCGGGGTCTCAGGGTCTAGCTTCCCATTGGCAGCGACTCTTGGATACAACTTTGTGTTCCAGCTATATCTCTCTTGACTTCTTTCGCTTCCAGAAGATTGTAAAGGAACTGTCTCCCCCAGGTGCGAGGGTTGTTTTGTTCTGTCTCTGTTTCTTTTCAATAAAATTACAGCATTGAGAGAGGCCGTGGTGCTGTTTTATTTCCAGGAGCTAACCGCAGTGGGGACTTCAGAGCTGTGACTAAGGTCTCCGGGAATGGTCCTGCAACACTGCGTCTTGGGTCTGCTCTCCGGATGTTTGGGGGTGACCCAGGCTGATTCGGGGTGACAGTGACATTTGTATCCTGGTTAGTGCCTGAAAGCTCTGGAAAACAGTTCTGAGAGAGAAGTGGGGGAACAGCACCCCATTTGTTGAGACACAGAGAGCCCAGTGAAGTGGCTGTCTGTGCGAAGCTCGCGGACACAGTGTTGGACAGCTGCCCGTTCCTGGGTACCCCTCCCTCCTCTTACTTTCTCCGCTCCGGGCTGCCTCCCTCTCCACAGCCACCCCTCCAAAAACACAAGAGACAGGATTTCCAGGTTTGACGTGGCACGTCATAATTAGCCGGATGGGGCTCGCTCATGTTCCCTCAGAATGGCAGGCGCCTCACTCCTCCTGCAACACCGTCTTCTCTGTCTAATAGTGACAGAGCCAGCTTCCGCCTCTTAGCAGCACAGAGGTGACCTTTACAAAGTGATGGCCCTCTCCAAGCTCCTCATACATGTTTCATTTACAAAAAAGACAGTGTTTTTCCGTGGAAATGTTTCTTCCTGCTCAGGACCGCCGCCGTCCGCACCGCGCGGTCTTGTGCGCAGCAGCTGATCCCCGGTGGTACCAGGTCCTGGAGAGCTAACCTTTCCGCTGCCAAACGGGGTCGGTGCTGACACGCTGCAGTTTACCGTTTGTGATTTATTTAGGATAAATATGTCCCTGGTGGCATTTAATCCTTCATAAAACCAGTGTAGCTTGCCGTGTCAAACCAGCAACCACGTTGTAATGTACCCACAATGAAAAGAGCAGACTTTGCATGAAGAGCAGGGGGCTGAGGGGCCCACGCAGGACGCGCTAAGTGATGGGCTCTGTCCTCTCACGACACGACCTCCAGACGTGCTCACACACACACACACGCACCATGATGAGTGGACAGGGTGCGTTTACTGCGGCACAGGCTTGTCTACACGGCCGACCCATGGTCACAGATATCTCCTACAGGTCCCTTCCAAGGACACCTGCTGTGGGACTTTACAGAGGAAGGCAAACAAGTGCCATCCTTGTTTGGAGCCTAGAATCCAGGGAACTCCCAGGACCCCTGGGCACCTTGAAGACTGGTGGCTTCTGCACCCACAGGAGACTCCATCTGCATCAGAATTGGTCCACCATACTTGGGAGGGCCACAGAGAAGACAGCGCTTCCACACAAGTGCAGCTCAACCTGCTGCCTTTCTGGCAATTCTACTTGCAAGTGACCCTTTAGAACAGAAGGGGACTGCTCCTTGGGCAGGTCTGGCTGGTCAGAATCAAAATACCTATCAGTTGTCACCAACCTGACCCTGACTCGTGACAACCCCGTGTGTGCCAGAGGAGAACTGTGCCCCACAGGCTTCTCAGTGGATGATGTTTCATAAGTAGACTCCACTCATGGTGCCCTATATGTGTGTCAGAGGAGAACTGTGCCCCACAGGGTTCTCAGTGGATGGTTTTTCATAAGTAGATTCCACTCATGGTGCCCTGTGTGTGTCAGAGTAGAACTGTGCCCCACAGGGTTCTCATTGGTGGTTTTTCATAAGTAGATCCCACTCATGGTGCCCCGTGTATGTCAGTGTAGAGCTGTGCACCACAGGGTTCTCAGTGGATGAGTTTTCATAAGTAGAGTCCACTCATGGTGCCCTATGTTTGTGTCAGAGTAGATTTGTGCTCCACAGGGTTCTCAGTGGATGGTTTTTCATAAGCAGATTCCACTCATGGTGCCCTGTGTGTGTCAGAGTAGAACTGTGCTCACAGGATTCTCAGTGGATGATTTTTCATAAGCAGATCCCACTCATGGTGCCCCCGTGTGTGTCAGAGTAGATCTTTGCTCCACAGGGTTCTCAGTGGATGGTTTTTCATAAGTAGATCCCACTCATGGTGCCCCTGTGTGTGTCAGAGTAGAACTGTGCTCACAGGATTCTCAGTGGATGATTTTTCATGAGATTCCAGGCCTTTGTTCTGAGACAGGTCTGGGTGGATTCTGCCCGCCAGCCTTCCGGTTCAGGGCTCTCTAAGGCAATTCTAACCAGGTCAAAATGAACAACACAAACCTGTTGCTGCTTAGTGGGCCCAGACTTGTAGCAACGCTGTGTGTATCAGAGAAGGCCTGTCCTCCGTGGGTTTCAGTGGCTGACTTCAGTCGTTCATCATCAGGCCATGCTTTCGAGGTACATCTGGGGGAACTGAACCTTCTGGTTAGCAGCCAAGTGCTTTAGCGGTGTGTGCCCCCAGCGTCTCCTTAGCCTTATGAGATCACTCTGAGGAAACAGTGTGGTATATAGATGTGGAGCTGAGGGAGGTGGGGCCCCTGCAGTACCCCAAGCCCGACAAGCAGACAAGCTCTTCTCACCCACCCACCCCCACCCCCACCGATGCAGAGCGCACCACCTCTTACTTCCTGGCTGCTTCTAAAGCAGCTGCAAATTCAGGAGCCAAGGTAGTGCGCCAGTGTGGGCAGAGCACCAGAAGGTCTGCTGTCATTTTATCAGCTCCATCCTCCTCCCAGAAATGAGGACATCAGAGTCACTAAGGAAGGAGCCTGCCTCAATCTTTGCTCCCTCTTTCCACCGGTCCTGCACAGCGCCCCTCTCCTCTTCACCCCCGGAAAGAAGTAAGGTGTCTAGAAGAGTAGACATCTGATGGATGGCGTGCCTTTCTTCCTCCCATTCTGCCCAAGCTGTGGTTTTCCTGAACATAAGAATTGTGGGAAATGGCAGAAGGGAAAAGTTGAAGAACAGCATGGCGTTTTCAGAATCTGTTGAGTTGAGGAACCTGAGGGGCCATCCAGTCCACCAACTAACAGCCCCAAGTTTCTGCTGGATAGCCAGCCCGGGCCCAGGATTCGGGGGTGTGCACAGCTGACTAGGTCCTGCTGGAGAATCCAATCCATCCTCGCCTGGAGGGTGATACCATTTGACAAGAAGGAAACCGTGAACTCAGACAATGGGTGTGCGTTTCGGAAGCACCTTCTAATCAGAGATTGGTGATTCATTATTAGCTCCAGCCTGCGATCCATCTGACATGGAAGAGGAAAAATTAGCAGCTGTCACTGTGTGATGGGTTAATTTCCTGATGGGTCTGACACTGAAAAGCCATTTGGAGACATGGCAGTGGCTGACGAGAAAACCCGGCACGGCTTAATGAGTGGAGATGAAGGAAGGACAGAGACGGAGCCCAGGCCAGTCTGCCAGGCAGCATGGGGGCTCTTGTGCTGGACCTCAAAAGCCTGTCTGCCTGACTGGGTCACAGTGTCCATACAAGTGACTGAGTGGCACCAAGTGTGTGGTGTGGAGGTGTGCGGCCATTTCCACAGGACTGGCGGATGCTATGTCCTTCTGATGGTCCCCTTAGCAAGTCTCCTCATTGGTGTTCAAGGTCTCCGTAGTGGCCCTGGGAAGTAGACCTTGTGGGGACTGAAGAGGAGGGAAGTGATGAGCCACGTGTATGTCTCCAGAAGCTTCCACAAGTGGTGAGGTCCACCAGCTTCGCTATTCCCTGGATCTCTGTCTCCCCTATTGATTCCATTCCAAGCTCAACAAGTTGGCAACAATCCACACCTATTTTGACTATCTTAAAGATGACCATTAGAAACCAAGAACTAAATGTATAAAACAGATGCTTGAGTCTCACCAGGGTGGCCGGCGCATTGTAGACTCAGCATACAGGGAGTGCTGAGTGAGGTTATGCACGTCTAAACCCAGGGCTGATGGCTTAATCACTGAGTCTGTCAAAACCAGGAGGCCGAGCCCGCTGAGTCCTGTACTTTAGGAGAGCGAACCAAGAGCTGCTCCCCTCCCGTGCTACTGAACCTTGGACCCAGATACAGTTCAGGGGTCTTCTCTCTGGGAGGAGGGAGGGCTCAGGGTCACCGTGCGAGCATGACAACAAAGTCCTATTAAGCATTAAATAGATCCATTCCAGATCATACCATCAAAGACTCATGTACTTGTTCCCCA